ATTTGATAACTTTGAAAGTGCCAATATAGTGTCAAATTCATTGTAGAACAATACGAAGGTACTATACACTATACCATATAATACGGATCCATATAAGAAATCTTTCTTTGTCAAGATAATAATTCATTGGCACCATCTGCAGAAGACAGTATTGTATGCGCTAACACAGTTGAGAGCTTAAGGTAGCTCTTCAACACCGTCAATATGCGTCTTTCTCTCCCGTTGGATAAAGCCAGAATTGGTATCTTCAACGTATATATACAGATACATATAAGACAATCGTCTTTATTTTAACTTACTCTAGGTTATAAAGAAAATCCAAATAGCTGTCCATTCCTAGGAAATGATGGAGCGGAGGCCCGAAGGGTCAACGCCCATAATTTCACAGGAATGGACAGTTATTTGGTCATTCTATCACTTAAAACACACTTAAAAAATAACAAATACACTACAATATTTGCTTTTTTAGTAATACAATAAAATATATAATTTATTGATCACTTGAACATTCCCTTCACTGAACCTTTTAAAATTTTAAAGAATTTACTTAACTATGTGAGTAGTTATAAACTCACTAGTGAGTTCTTTTTACAACAGTTGCTTTAAATTGGGTTGATTTTAACAATAACGTCCATAGTAGCTAGTGTCCAAGTTTGGATTATGTCACGTTCGGACGTTGAGGAAATATTTCTTACGCAAAACACATTTTCACAAGAAACCAATGATGATAACTTGGATTTATGTAATTTTTTCTTGGGATATGATACTACTACTACTAGTAAAACATATTCAGTTGCATGTTCTGATATTTCTGAAGACGAAAGTTTTTCTAATGAGCTAAAATTACCATCATTAGAGACCAGACGGAAAATAAAAAGGCTTTGTTTGTTCCACAAAGCTTTACATAAACAAATAGCCATAAATTTTCCAGATTATGTAGAACAACAAAGCAGGACAACACGGAAATATCACCAAAGTAAATTTAGAAACCTTCAAACTTCAACCAACACCTACAAATACAGCTTCTTTCCACGGACCATCAAAGACTGGAATACCTTACCATCAAGACTGTTAAATATAGAAGATGCAGAGGCATTCAAGAACAGCCTCACATCTTATTTAACAGAGTAGTCACGCAACAAACACTAAATTTTAATTTCACATGTAAATATGTTTTAATGAGCACCATATTGAATGACTTAATTAGTACTTAGGTGATAGGTCTTAGACCCTTTGCATTTCAACGATGTAGATGTAGATGTAGATGTTTTCCAATCCGAGATTAACACAGTCTGACGATGAATTACTTATAAATGTCTCAAAAATTGAAAGTAAAGGTCATCAACCATCAACTTCAAGATTTCACGAGCCAAAGACAAATAAAGAAGTCTAAGATATGCAATCAAAGAAGTAAGTAACTTATGTCTGATATATATATAAACAGACGTTTTGTTCAAAACACAAAATAAACAGTAATACTAAATCATGAGGCATTGTGCGTGCTTTGTCGTCATTTAGGTTATGCAATAGTTGCCACTGGACGTTAAGCAATCAACAGTCAGTCAAATATCATGTCAATATTTTTTCGATTATACTTAGTTAACTAAGAAATATATATAACAGGGCCCATTTAACTCTGGAAAAAATGTAAAGCAGTCTTCCCTTGTGCATGATTACATCATAAAGGTCTCATACAAAATGATAAGGATCAGTTGTGTGCCGTGATAAAGTCTTCTCGTTCATCTGTACATAAAAAAATAAGGAAGTTTGTGTAATTTCCCTTGTCTGTATTGAAATGAATATTTAAGTTTGATATTTAGAAATTCGCAAATAACTTCTCACAAAAGATTCGACCAGCTGTCTGGTTTTTGTCGGTATTTTGTCACAGTCGGACTAAACAAAAGTTTGACCAATATCGCCTTCTTATTCATACTGTTTTTTGTTGTTTTTTTTTTTTTTTTTTGGCTTATTTGTGCACAAAAAAGAACTGTTACATATATTATACAATACATCATGGTAAAACACAAACAGTGTTTTGAAAACCCATTGGTGGCCTTCGGCTGTTGTCTGCTCTATGGTCGGGTTGTTGTCTCTTTGACACATTCCCCATTTCCATTCTCAATTTTATTTATTTAAGTTTTTAACCAACGAATTTACAGATATGGATAGTAAGATTAAGGTTCGGAATTTAATTTCCATTTGATACTTAATTACAGCCGGTCATACAAAATACGGTTAAATACTACATTTCTATATCGGGAGCTATTTCGGAGCAATGTATAATTCTATAGTTAGATATAAATAGTGACATAAAACAATCATATATATGCATGTCCTATCTTCTTAGGTTTTTTTTTTTATTTTTTTTTAGGAATTTCGAATTTTCGTATTGTCAGATCTTTCACAGTGTGTGTTAAGTTATTAACTTTTTTAAACTCGGGACGATATGAAACTGTTTATTGTGAAAACTGTATATGTTGTCTCCGATCTAGATATCTTTTATATTGTATCGTTTGGTCGCTGTCTCATTGATGTATACACCACGTCTCCCTTTATTCATACATTATTAAAAAAAATATTCGTTTTTAGTCGTGTATGCTGACCTTCATAGACCATTTTTTTTAATATCGTTAGGTTGCTGTCTCGTTATCGTCTAGCCTAATCATACTTTTTTATACATTCAACTCTACTGATCAAGGGAGGTGTATATCTCTCTCTTGCTATCGCTCTCTCTCTCTCTCTCTCTCTCGCATTCTCTCTCTCTCTCTCTCTCTCTCTCTCTCTCTCTCTCTCTCTCTCTCTCTCTCTCTCTCTCTCTCTCTCTCTCTCTCTCTCTCTCTCTCATAACTGCAATATTCAATTAATAATATTGAAATATAGAGTAGATATGTATTTTTGCTGCGTGTTTGCTAGAATATTTATAATTGTTTCTTAATATTGTAGGTTTGCTGACATTACCATAAGCAAAATCAAGTGGGCAACGACCATATTCCAACTATGGAAATCTACCAGAAATATTAGGGCGAATGATCCAAATGTGGGACAATGGGGGACTTAGTCCAATTCGCGTAGATCTGGTTGAAATGTCGCTTGATGAATTGAATTATTCCATTTCCCGCTTCATTTGTGAAGTTCGTAAAACTGATGGTATACAATTACTGTCTTTTGATGAGGTAAATGTGTGGTTTAATTGACTTTTGAAAAACTGAATGTCACTAGGTTTTTCAAAAGTCAATGAAACCACATATTTACCGAAACAAAAGACAGTAATTGTTTTATTCCATGTTCCGAGCGAGAAAAATATGTATAAAATAACAGTTATTTACCAAAACCAACTAAAGGTCAAACATTGTATCGTTATTATACACGTAAAAGCACGCGACGTTTTGCGCGGTGAATATACTTTTTCCGCAAGTGAATATGCTTATTTATTCAAAATCCCATTCATATAGAAAAACCTACTAAAGTTCTATCAATATGGAATAAAACTGAATATCCCCCAGATACGCTGATATTCTCTAGTTATTTGTTTACTGTTATACATGGATACACTTGGACATAATCACAAGTTTCTATCTGATTCTAGCTTTATTCAGATAAAAAATTTCCTAGATAATGTAATGAAATTACGAGCAGAAGTTCGCGTTCCTAAAAAAGAGGCCGAAGAAATTTCTTTGGAGGAGGAAGAAAAGTTATGGGCAAGCGGTTTTTTAGGATCTGATAACGCTCGTCATTTATTAAATACGCTAGTCTATTTAATAGGTTTAAACTTTGCGTTAAGAGGTGGCCAGGAACACAGAGATTTTAAAGGGGGAAATTTATCGCAGTTTCAAATAAATGAAAAGAATGGTTCAAAGTGTTTGATTTATACTGAAGCAAAATCAAAGGCAGACCAAGGAGATATCAAGCATAAACACGTTAAAAGAAAATCTGTGGTGGCATATCAAAATACCGAAAATCAAGCTAGGTACGTTGTGAATTTGTTTGAATTGTATGTTTCTCACTGTCCACCGTTTCCTAGGAAAGCCGTTGCGTTGTACTTGGGACCTTTGAAAATTCCAAACGGAAACATTTGGTATGCTGATCAACCAATTGGTAGACATAGCCTTGCTAACATTGTAGCTAGCATTTGTCAGGAAGCCGGTATAGGTGGTTACCGCACTAACCACTCACTTCGAGCTTCTGCCGCAACTAGGATGTACGACGCTGGTGTAAATGTGCAATTAATATTCGAGGTCACGGGTCATAGATCGAATGCTGTAAGAAATTACAAAAGAACAAACGAAAAACAGAAAAGGAAAATCAATTCCGTTCTCCAAGGACGAACCGATAGTGAAAACGATGATTCCGGAAAGTTCAAAATATCCAAATCTGAATGCAATTTGTCAATTACATTGAATATTTCCATGAAGTGAAGTGAAATATTTCAGTCAGTGTTGTGTTTTGATGTTAGAAATGTCTGAGTATAGTAATAAATATGCAGTGCTCCTATATTCTTTTTTTTTCAGTCGTCATGTCTCCTTAACACCGATACCACGAACACAAGTGCAGATGTATTCCTTGTTTGATGTTTGTAACCACTTCTTACAAGTACATTTTTTATTTTTATTTTCTTCTCTTTCACTTTTCTTATAAAAATACGCAGTAATATGGAACATTAATTCAAAAGGGGGTTTCAAGTAAAATTACTGCATTTTGATAGGAAACAATGTTAGAGGGGACAAAAATAAACACCAAATGTACTTTTGGCAAGTCTTATAGGTAAATTGTTGTCATCGGTTACAAAGTCTAGGTACTAGTCACAAAGATTTTTCCCTCAGGGTATTTCATACTCCTAATTAAAGGCGGACAATAGAAAATAACTCTTTATTCCTGGAAAATAATGGAGAGTTAAAACAATAGATTTACGTCACAAGTGTGTTTTAACATAACAAATAAAAAACATTTTGTTTGATTTTTTTTTTCTTTACGTTTTTGTTTTGTTATTTTTTTTTTCTTTACGTTTTTTCTTTTTGTTATATTTTTTTTTCTGTTTTACCTTCTTGTTGTTATTACCCCTGAATTTATACATTATTTTTATATTCTATATAATATTTTATTAATTATCATTGGCTGCAAAAAGTAGACATTGTGTTCTCTTTGTCGACAAATTAGAGTAGAATTATTGCTTTCTAGTCTCTGAGATATGGGAATACTTCAGGCAAAATGACTGACAAAATTTTTTTTTCTGAGGAATTGTATTTCCTTCGTTAATAACTGTTACAGAAAAGACTTTTTCAAAGAATATGATAATTGATAGAAAAGTGTATTCTGTGTGATTTGAAAAATTAAGAACATTTTGAAATATCGTAATTGTCTTCTGTTTTCCCTCCAATGAAATGATCGTACGTGTCTTGATTTTCCGAATCCGACCTGAAACGACTTGCAGAATCATATACCGTATCGACAGTATGACTGTAAATGTAGGTTGTAGATTGTTTATGTCGTTTGTCGCGTGATGAATCATACACCCCTTCTTCAAGAAGACCATACGTATTATCTGTGCGATCTGGTTTGGTAATAAAGCCTGTTTTATCATTACGCGTATTGATTGGATGGGCAAGTTCATATTGATCAGTTTTTGGTTTTACCTTCAAATCGGTTATAACCCGTTATATTTGGGTCTAAAACTAAGTAGTTGTTTGAAGATGCATTGTTAGATATTATCTCAGAAATATGACTTTGTTCACTAGATGGGTCAACAGTAGCATAATCATAATTTGAATTTGTTTGCTTTAAATCTCGTTTTCTACCAGAAACTGCACGGTTTGCGGGGTTTTGGTAGTGATAATCGGTAGTTGTCTTTTTTTAAATCCAGGTACTGAGTGTTGTTTGGAAGTCCAGTCTCACGTGCCATATCATTATTTTGAGATCCAGTATAACATTCCTTCGATTCTTTTAATTTGTTCGATCCAAAAGACCTAAAATATTTGAAATAAAGCGTATAGTTTTACATCATTATGATTAAACAAACTTTATGGATTGTAACTACCGTTTTTTTATTATTCATACATGCTAATGCACATGACAATAAGAGGATAATATTATGATATGAATAAATGACTCCTTTTTACTTTTCCCATTTCATATTTTTTTCAACTTTTTTCCATCAATCATAGGATTTAGATTGAGATAGGTTTGTTTCTTTTTGCACGTTGTTACTCTCTTCACTACCTTTAGTCTCCTTGTCGTTGTGAAAAAGATCATGGTTAGAAAGCAATGCTGTGTCTGTATTATTTTTTATGATTTGTTGTGTCAGAAGATGCTGTAGCATGTATATATATGCCAGAAGATGCTGTAGCATGTATGATGTATATCATACCCATATAATTTCGTTTTCAAAGATTGTCGGTACCGAAATATCACCCACAGCTCATTAACTCAGTCTGATATTGTCACTAAAATACGGCACAGTGGATCATATATTTTCTGAAGACAAAATCAATATATCTATTTATTTTAAAGTTACGCAATTGCTTTGTCTACTTGATGCAGAACTGTAATTGCTTAAAAGACTCTGCTCTACTCTTTTGTCGTTTTCAGAAATATCATGATGTTTCAGATTATTTATCGAAATCCTCTTGAAATGCAATATAATTAGACCTTTTCAGAATCTAAAGCGTCTTATCTATTATTTTCAACAAATACTAGTAACCCGAAAAATTTCAATTGGTTGAAAACATCTTAATCATTCAAACTTCAGTACATAAGCTGCACATTATTATTTTTATATTGGTGTAAGAACAAAGAATTTACCTATAATTTTTTTAGCATCTGAAATGACAAAATGATACAATTTAATATTTTGATCGTAGAGACGGAATCTATTGGATATTTAGAATTTTTAGTTTCATTTAAATAACAATACCTTCGAATGAATATAGAAATTACAACCAGAACAAGTATGAACAATACCAGACCCACAACAAGTCCAATAACCATTCCTGAAATAAAGTTTGAAAACATTTAACCTTTATACCATTCTTGTCTCTCCTTTCTAAGCACTTGGTTCTGGTAATCTGGGAACTAAGCATAGCCTTTACCCAGAAACTTGTAATTATTCATAGATGGATTGTCATAAAATTTTGAAAGGGAGGTTATAATCATTTAATATTTTACTTTTACTGTTTAGTCTATTTTTTGGTAATATCCATTTGACGTGACTCGGTACTTATACATCTCGTCGTTGTGTTATTGTGCTATGGTAAATTTTTGTATTCTTGCCTTCGTTTTTGACTATGTGCTTTGTCGATATGCCTTTTTGATTTTCTTTGTTGACATATTTGTTTGTTTTTATAGTGATTAAGATTATAACACAATGTTGACTGCTGTACCCCTATTTTTGATATTTTTACCTATGTCTGTTTGTTTTGTTCAAACATTCAATAAAAAAAGGATTTTTATACGACTGTCATACAAGTGAGAGGTTTAGCTAGCTATAAAACCATGTTCAATCCACCATTTTCTACATCAGAAAATGCCTGTACAAAGCAGGAATATGACAGTTGTTATCTATTCGTTTGATGTGTTTGAGCTTTTGCTTTTGCAATTTATTAGGGACTTTCCGTTTTGAATTTTCCTCGGAGTTCGGTATTTTTGTTATTTCACTTTTTAGATATTGATATCATTGAAGTGTTTTATTTGATTGATATTATAATAAACAAACCTGCATAATTAATTTATGCTGCTATTTATGGTTATACCTGGGAATAGTATACAATACTATAGTATGTCCCATGTTATACACATACTTTTCATGAAAAATATTTTTAAAAATCCAGAAACACTCGCAATTTCATTGCAGAGAATTTTTCAGGGAAGACATAATTTGATTAAGAAATGTTTCATGGATAGTATTTAACAGTGAAATATTGTAATGGACAGAATTTCGCAGTGAATTATTGTCCAGAAGGAGGAGACAAAATTTCATGGACAAGGACACTATTTTATATGAAATTTTGTCCGATGGACAATATTTCATGGGGGACATCATTTCATGTTAAAGTAAAACCAATTTCTCCTGCATTTGTTTCACTAAAAGGGTCAAAATCATAAAGTTGATGAAATCTACTATAACTCGATTATTAAAACATTATCCTCATTACCTTGTGCGAGATATTCGAATTTTCTCTTTTCTCGAAAAGTGATATTTCTTTTTGGCGATTTTTTTTTTCACTACTGTCTCTGTCTTCCAAAAAAGAAAATATGCAAATGCACGCAATATTTCTCATATGCCCTGGATTTCATAATGACATGGCATAAGTAGTATACTTACCAAAATATTTTCTATAAAATGGTTTTTAAGGTTTTTTTTGTTTTGATTTCCTGTTGAAATATGTCTAGAGGGGAGTACGATGCTAAGAGGGGGTATGATATTTGTTCAACATCACAAAGAAAAATCTCGACCAATTAATATTTTGTGAGATATCAATATTTATATACAGTGGATTTGTACATGATATAACATAATTATGTTATCAATTTTACATATTTCTAGAAAAATGTTATTTATCGATACCTATGCCCACTGTGTATTCTATCGGGACCAGGAAATTGTGTACCATCGAAGCGGAGAAAAATGTGTTTTTGAAAGAATATCCGGAAGAAATAGACTCGGACTGAGAGTACGACAACTTGCTCGACTTGACAAATTTACAGTACGGCAGCTCGTTTTCCAAATGTACGACAAAACGGTTCTGGTATAAAATGCTCACGTCTTTTTCTAGAACCAGTACTATGAGTCTAAATACTCTATAAAACACGTAGGGATAAATTGTTCAATTCGCTTAAAGGCTTTGTGGATACCTAAAAAGCCGCCTTGTCCTTATTTGATCTCGAACCTATGAAAAAGATTTCCAATATGTACATGTAAGCACTAAATGTCAATTTTTCCCATACTCAGCTGAAAAAAACACATTCCATTAAGTGCCTAATCGCTGTGAATTGTCACCTAACTTTGGTATTTTTATTTCTGTTTATAACATTGTATTTGTTTACTACATCAAGATGCTAGAAATTAAAGTTTTGTAAAAAAAAAAATCTTAAAAATTTAAGATGAGAATTTGTCTTCACTTAAACCCAGTTCAATCTAAAATTATGCTTAAGGTGATAAGTTATAGAATATTCAAAAAGTTGAATTGCAGATTTTTCAAGAAATAAAATTAAGTCATGTTCATCAAATATACTCTACGATACAATCCGGGTATACTTATCGATCCTTTAAATTAGCTTGTTCTGAAAGGCTGTCAATTCAACACTGTAATTAGATCTTTGAATATTGTTTTTATTGGTATAGATATTGGGTTTTGTTATTACTAAATTAAAACCAAACTAAATATGTTTATAGGATTAAACACATTTTTTTCTAGAGGTAATTGATGTGTAAACTGGGGCGATTAACTCACAAACTGAATAAAGGTCCGAAGGACTTTTATGTAAAGTTTGTGAGTAAGCGATGCAGTTTACATATCATAACCTCTACAAAAAAATGTGTTTAATCCTTATAATTCTTAAGCCAAAAATTCGCAATTTTTAATGAACAATGTTTTGTTTATTAGCTACTATTTACCATCAAATGCGCAATTGACATGTCGTAACTAAGGAGTTATCCGCCATATTAACTAATTTAACTTTGTGAAATCCTTAACTGTTCGATTAATGCTAATGAATCTTAAATGAAATGACACCTACCACAAAAACTTCATTTCAATGAGACATTACAATTTGAAGCGAACAAGTAACGGAATAAGCATCAGCTTGATAGTTTTCATTCGTATGACGCCATGATCACTCATGACATTTCGTGGAATTTTATTTTATTTTAACATGTTTAATTTTATACATTTTCCAAGCTTTAATACATTTTTTTTCTTTTTGTTATGCGTTAAAAAAGAAACAACAGTTATGTATTTGATTTGATTTTTTAATTTCAATTTGCTTAGAGAACCCCCCTGGATCCCATGCATGAGTATCGCGCATGAAACGATCACAGTGAAGGTTACGAAAGTAGTTTCGGCAACATGATTTATCGAAGTGTAAACCAAAGCAAAATATTCAAACGGACCAATCGGATTCAAGTATTTGTAGATATGCAAATCATATAAGAATTATTGTTATATACAATCTGTCGATACCTGTATCTTGACATTGCACAAGGTCATGTTTTCTCTGACTGTTAATGACGTTAATGACGTCTTTACACTAAATAAATTGGATGTTGGGTGTGTACTGATTGATATTTTAGTCTTAAATAGATAAATGATTTTTTTGTTGTTAGTTGTAATTAGCTTTGAACTGGCTGTCAGTAACTGCGAGTACTCTCAGATATGCACTTAGTGTTTTTTGTTGTGGGGATATTGAAATACCCTGCCACGTCCGGTCTGTGTTTTGGGAATATTTGGTCTCCAATGCTCTTCAGCTTCGTACTTTATTTGATTTGGCCTTTTAACTTTTTTTGATTCGAGCGTCACTGATGAGTCTTATGTAGACGAAACGCACGTCTGGCGCAATTACAAAATTTCAATCCTGGTATCTATGATGAGTTTATTTCGTTAGATATTATTCTGCTTTGTATCGATCTGATGAGTTTTTCAATTGACTTTTTAAGTTTTTTCTTCTGCTGTACTTTTGCACCAGTGTCCCAGGTTTGGGGAGGGGGTTAAATCAGATTAATCCCACCACATTCTGCATATCCCAAATCAAATGTATCTATCTATTACATAGCAGGAAAAAAGTACGTGGTCCCAATTTATTCCTAAATTCTTTTAATTTCGTGCGTACAAGCTCCATGAACAAGCTATACTTTTTATTATATTTTTGAAAATAAAATATTTATATAAACTATCAGCTAGACAGATAGAGAAAAGAAATTTCTGTAGTTTTTTGTCTCTTCTGCAAAAACTGTTTTGTGAAAATACTGAAAATGGCAATGATATAATCGTGAACTAGTAAATCGGGTACGCCTTTTACATGCAGGCGTGTTTTGATTATACTGTATTGTTATTAAAACGTATAAAACAAAATTAAATTCGTAAAAACTTTCGGTGCTAAATGACCAAGATGGACTTAAAAATAGAAACCAAATTCATCTAATGTCAACTTTGTCTGAAATAATGACTAATAACATGTGAACAAATCTCCGGTACACGAAGTTAAAACTGATGTACAAATGAGAACAAATTTAATGTTAAACCATTGTTCATTACATGAAACTAATTGTCAACAGGTTTACAATACTCGACGTTTAGTGTGATGACGGCCTAACATGGTACTTGCAAAATAGTTTTATCAATTACCTTGACCATATGAAAATGTACTACAAAAAAAGAAGTAATTTCCTTAAATTTCTGTCAAATATCCTTAACGATAGACCTTTATTTTGGATGTTGAAAATTTAAAGTTCGAAATATTTCAAATGTGTGCTCTTTATCTATAGTTCAATATGCCTTCGGTTTAAAAAATATTGCCATTGGACAGTCTACAACACTTGTTACTATTACACATTACCTATTTCATTCATGTCTTTATTTGTTAACGGTGAAGTTGTTGCATTGGTTACTACAACTGCGTCTGTAAAAAGAGAATATGTTTTACAGGTATATTTTAGGACTTCATATATGGACATACCGTTCCGTTGCTCTTTGTCAGTCTTATCATAGTTGTACATTGTATTCCTATATGACAGGTCGCGATTTTTTCGATTCGATTCAATAAATTTGAAATAAAGCTCCATTTGAATTGTTTATTCTTCTTGAAACGGGAAATATTTCTGCAGAATTGAATCTACTTGTTTCATATAAAATCGCTTGTCCGCTCATACTTTCTTTTTTGGGTATTTATAACTAATCCTCCTCTCATACGCAAATTGCATTATTTGACATCAATTTTATGCTAAATGCTAAGTTGCCGTTCATACATGACAACCAACGGTACAAGGATAACTAAAAATACTAACAAAGAGAACAGCACATGTATTTGGATAAGTTAAGACAAAACATTATGTCCAATAAGTATTAAATAAATTCTGTACAGAAAACAAAATACTAGTAAATGATCAAATTCTCATTCGATAAAATCATGAAGAGAACATTTCATCCATGACAATAACGGCATTTCTGACTTTTTCTTATCGACGTGTATTTTTCTGACGTTTTAGTCTCGTTGAAATCTCGTTCTGGAATTATTTCCAAAATATATGATACAGGTGGAAAATATAAATGAATTTAAAAAATGTTATAATCAAACTTAACTCTGTGAAAAAATTGTGTATTTACAATGAGTAGTTTTTGAGAAATAAATGTTTCAAATTTTATTACCAATCAAGTCAGTCTTTTTAGCCAAAATTTTGAGAAAATTGGTGAGGGGTACAAGAAATGATTTTACCAGAAACATGTACATCCCATATCACTTTTTTTCTTTTCAAATTTCTTAGATATGTATTTTTTCAATCATTTATAACAAAGAAGTTGAAATGATATGCATTTTGTTCTCAAAACAGAGAAAAATCACAAATTTACAAAATTGACAGCATGGTAAATTTGACACAAAAAAGCATCAAAATATGATAAAACTTTCTTATATTAACACCTACCTATAGTTTTTGTAAGTTAAATTTATTCAAATTGGTCCACTTCATCTTTATTGAAAGTATGAAAAAAAGTTTAATTGTGGAACTATGATTTTTTTTCACGATAATAGCCCAAAAATAGGTAAAAATTGATGAAAAATGGGAAAATCATCAAAATTGGGTACTTTCAAAGGGCCGTAGCAAAAAAAGAAGTGCACCACCATATGATTTTTTCTTCACCAATTATTTTTTTAACAGTCATATAAACCCAAAAATCAGTTTAAGAAAAAAAGTTTAATTCCAGAAATTTTTGGCTCCTCGGAGGTGTACACCCTTAAGAAGCTAGCACTATCATTTAACTTCGCGTTTACGTTCCGCTATACCTCATTGAATAATAAGGGTTTTGTGACTGTTAATTGCATCTATTCCATCGAACAAGGACAAGTAGTATATCTGAGCCTTCCTGTAGAAGCTAGCACATGCTTGCCCTGCTTTTCAAACTAGGTGCCGTTTTTTTATTCCGCCACTCTAGGAGTGGGGTTAATATTGCACTGTGTACGTCCATTTTCTATGAATTGTTGGTGGTTGGTGTGCTCTGCTGTATTGTGTAATATTTTTTGTAATTCTTGATATGGTATTTATAAATAATCAAAATAAAGAATACCACATATACAGTTATGTCTAGTTTATCTAAAAGTTGAAAGTCAAGGTCCGTTGAGGGGAAGTCCATAAAAACTGACAAAATCAAATCAGACTATATCAACCAACGGAACGAATGAAAAATAACTGTCATATTCCTGTAGCACCTCCATATGGAGCACACATATATGTATATGATACAATCTTCCAGGACTTTCATTTCTATCATGATTTCCTTGATAGAGCAAAGCTACTTTCAAGGAACCTATTAAAATAGATGTTCCTAATGGTAAACTTTAATTCATCCCTTTTGGAAGTTTTACGGATGACATGATGGTTTGTAGGGTATCAATGTCAAGTCAGTTAACACAGATATATTCCCTACTATGTTCCCACTTGATTGTTACAGCACAGAAGGCTAATTATCATCGAATATTTACTTACCATAATCAATACGATTGGTGCTAATATTAGAACAGCAACTTATTACTACTATAACTGCATGCGCATCTACGTTTCTTTGGTTTTTTTTGTGTGTAGTGCATAGTGGACTGGTTCGTCGTTTTGTTTTGTTTAAAGTTCTGCCATGCTATCGTCTTTGTTTTTTGTTTGTTTGTTTTTTATTGTCTTCTTTTTAACAAATACATAAATCAGTGTCCATGTCATATTAGTTTTGAAAATACCAAAGTTTAGTCGGTTTTTTTTCGATAAGTGAAGGAATAAAAGAACATTTAAAACGCGAAATAACAATCCTTGTAAAAATCATGAAAATCCAAATAATATGATTTATTCCATATTGATCATTAGTAGGTTTTTCTATATGAATTCGATTTTGAATAAATAAGCATATTCACCTGCAGAAAAAAATATATTCACCGCGCAAAAACGTCGCGTGCTTTTACGTGTATAATTATGTTATAATCGTTTGATGTACAATTGGTTTAGGTAAATAATTGTCATTACATACATTTTTCTCGGAATATGGAATAAAACAATTATTGTCTTTTGATGGGGTAAATATTATACAATTACTGTCTTTTGATGAGGTAAATATGTGGTTTTATTGACTTTTGAAAAACTGATATTCACTGAGGCCAACGGCCGAAGTGAATATCAGTTTTTCAAAAGTCAATTAAACCACATATTTACCGAAACAAAAGACAGTAATTGTTTTATTCCATATTCCGAGAGAGTACAGATATAAATGTATGTAATGACAATTATTTACCAAAACCAATTGTACATCAAACGATTTTAACATAATTATACACGTAAAAGCACGCGACGTTTTGCGCGGTGAATATACTTTTCCGCAGGTGAATATGCTTATTTATTCAAAATCCCATTCATATAGAAAAACCTACTAAAGTTCTATCAATATGGAATAAATGGTTTAATTGACTTTAGAAAAACTAACATTCCCTTTGGCTGCTGGCCTCAGTGAATATCAGTTTTTTCAAAAGTCAATAAAACCACATATTTACCTCATCAAAAGACAGTAATTGTATAAAATTTACCCGTAGTGAGCACTGTGGATGTTCTTATTACAGTTGATGAGGTCTGGGTATAGTCTTTATCTACAAAATCAAATTAAGAATTGCCTCGAATTCTACCCGTTTCTAAGCCTTGCACAAATAAATCCTCTCTGCGAAATAGCCTTTTTTGTGCTGAGGCAGCGTAAAGCAACCTCCAATCAATCAATCAATATGTTTTGAGACAATTTACCGTTACCCTTATATTTCAGTCATTTGAGAGCTTGTGAATGATATTTACATACATGTTTGAGCTGGTTTTCGCGGTCTTAGATCTGTAGATACCAGTATACTTGTATAATCTGTAATTTTACTGATTGTGATATTTTGGCTGCGTATTTATACATCTTGCATTGCAAAACGGACACGCCTTTATTAGTGTCAAAGAGTTGAAACAGGTTTTTGAAATAACTGAAGTATATTCATTTGCTCGAAATCAAATTATCTATAATTTTGAAATTATACAAAAACTAAGGTTTCAACTCCCTCAGGCAAAGTTGGCCTTAGATGGATTTGGCTATTTTTTAGGTCCTTTTTGGTTTATAACTCTTCAACGTTTTCTGTCGGTCTTATACATCCTTGGATTTCAAATATTCGGCTTTGAGCGTTCCTGATGAAGGTAAATTCAGAAAAGCGCTTCAGACGCATGAAATTTATAACGTGTTGTTTTCATTTTTTTACAGCACTGAGTCGATACCTCTGCTGGTGGACTATCAGTCCCCGGGGGTATCATCAGCTCAGTAGTCAGTACTTCGGTACTGACATGATTTATAACAAAACTATCTAAATTGCATGTTTATAAATTTTGAAATTATACAGAAACTAAGGTTTCAACTCCCTCAGGCAAAGTTGGCCTTAGATGGATTTGGCTATTTTTTTAAGTCCTTTTTGGTTTATAGCTCTTCAACGTTTTCGGTCCTTAGACACCCTTGGCTTTCAAATATTCGGCTTTGAGAGTTCCTGATGAAGGTAAATCCAGAAAAGCGCTTCGGACGCATGAAATTTATAACGTGTTGTTTTCATTTTTTTACAGCACTGAGTCGATACCTCTGCTGGTGGACTATCAGTCCCCGGGGGTATCATCAGCTCAGTAGTCAGTACTTCGGTACTGACGTGATTTATAACAAAACTATCTAAATTGCATGTTTATAAATTTTGAAATTATACAGAAACTAAGGTTTCAACTCCCTCAGGCAAAGTTGGCCTTAGATGGATTTGGCTATTTTTTTAAGTCCTTTTGGTTTATAGCTCTTCAACGTTTTCGGTCCTTAGACACCCTTGGCTTTCAAATATTCGGCTTTGAGAGTTCCTGATGAAGGTAAATCCAGAAAAGCGCTTCGGACGCATGAAATTTAAAACGTGTTGTTTTCATTTTTTTTTTCTTCAACCGATTTAGCCTTCCAACTGATTTGATTCGATAGTTCTTATGTAGAAAAACGGCACGTATATGGCGCATTAAATTATAGACTGGGTCGATGATATACCAGGGATAAGTTTTCACAATATTATTAAGTATATTTGGTTTTTTTTCTTCTGTATAACTATATCATAACGCAAACATCTATTTAGGTGGGTTGGATTAAACGAGGTAAAGAAGAGTATTTCATTTATACATTTTTGGATATTATTTTTTTTTTTTAAATGAAATAATCAGACGGACTTTTTTCAAGCTATACCGATTTGGAACAAATAAGATTTCGTATTCTGAGTTATATTTATACGTACAAACAGGTAATCCTAAGGCTGTGCTGATATTGTTCACAGAATACGACGTCATGAATCCACCACAACCTCCCATGTGCATCTCAAAATCGAAAAAGAATTCATTATTCATATACTCACTTTGAGATAATGTAGAAGACCAATTAATCCAACCGTTCATAAAATTATTACTAACACCAACTCTACCAGGATAGGTTTTATTTGGATTATAGTAGAAAGTAATATAACTGTTCGGATTGGCGTCACAGTTTTTGAAGGTAAAGTCATGTTTTGCAGCACGGTATCCTTGTGTAGTGCTTTTGTTGGTCAGACTAACTGGTAAAAATCCTAGAAATAGATATGGTGCCATTATATCGGCATTTTTACGTTGCGGACCTTGGTAAGAAGTATTACTGTTATTACCGAAGTATAAGGTAGAACTGTTTTGAAACTGTGACAAATTTTCTACGATAACTTCATTTTAAGTACCGTTGCTGAAGAGAATCCGTAATTTGGCAAAGTCCCTGGTCGAGTATAATATTGAAATATCAACCGACTTTTTATAAGATTCCTTTGAAATGTAGGTGTATACCCACTCTTCCTCAAAAGAGCAATATACTTTGATGGAATTGCTGTTTTGATAAATCGTGTATTCTCCGCTTGAAATATTTCTGTCTCTTTGGAAGAATTCTATGCATGAACCTTAAATTAAATCTGTATTTTTCAATATACAATCAAAATTTCAAAATTAAATATGTTCTGTAAATTCTGTAATAGATAACGCGCGAACCAGAACTAGTTGAAAAATGATCAAAAGAAGAGTTTTCATTCAGCAGTGAACAAAACGTAAGCTCATGGAAATGTACAGTATATTTACTGTATAATCTCACAGTGCATTGACAATGTGTCAACAAGGGTACTTTATGTGGAAATACAAATAACTACCAATCATAGCAAAATAGAAGTATTAATACATTATTACAATTGCCTGAATTTTGCGTTCTTGATGTTGTTTTTTGGGGTCACATCAGCAACTAATAGGTTGAAATTGTTTGTTTCCTTGTTTTCTTGTTTCCGGATAATACGTGTTTAACCATATGCCGAACTTAGACTAATCATGCCAGCATTGAAAATGTCGAAAGAATAGGCCACTCATTGTTTTAAGTCTGTCTACTAGGTAAAAGGGTAAGGTCATAGTCAATGCCTATAAATGGACGAAAATTTGAGTCATAAATCAGATATATACTAACCTTTGAAGAATATTGCACCGTGAAAAGACTCGTCTGGTTTCGGGATTACTGTGAAAAAGTTGAATGTCACAACCACAATTGAGAGATTGAAATATGCCGACAACTTTTTATCTTTGGAAAATCTTTTGAACACTACATCCAAATATCACTAGAATTATGATTTTTTTTATCATTTGTTAGTGGCTTTGAACTAGTTATCAGTAACTATGAGTACTCTCATATCTGTACTTTGTGTCTTTATTGTTGTGACTGATGTATAAATTCCCTAGTACGTCCGGTATGTGTTTTTGTTGAATGTTTGTCTGCTTTGCATCGATCTGATGAGTTAAGCCCTTTTCTTTATGTTGTTCTTTAACACCACTGTCTCAGGTTAGGGGAGGGTTCGGCGCCAGCAAACGTGTTTACCCCCTCCACACAAACACATTCTGTATGTGCCCGTCCCAAGTCAGGAACCTATAGTTCAGTGGTTGTCTTTGGTTCATGTCTGGCATATTTGTTTTTCGTAAAAAAAAATATATAAATTAGACCATTAGTTTTCTCAATTGAATTGTTTCACGTTTTTCAATGTTTTTTTCTCATTCTTGAAGGTCGTACGGTTGCCTTTAATTGCTCACATCCACTTTATCTGAACTTTGGTGGATAGTTGTATCAATGGGAATCATACCACGCCTCCTTATCTTTATATCACTAAGCAGTTTGATAATGGCCCTTGGGAAACCATAATCGATTTTGATGTCATTAACTCAAAAATCAAATTCACAGCAACAATTTTTAGGTAAAAATTTGAGTCAAATGTTGGTTTTCGATAATGTCTGTTGAATTAATCAATCAAAGTTGACTCTTTACGTATAAAATATATTATAAATGTTCCGACTCGGTGGTCTCGTGCTCGCCTCCTGTGCGGGATGTCCTAGGTTCGAACCCCGACAGGGTTAAACCATAGACAGAAAATTGATATTTGCTTCTTCACCGCTGAGCACGTAGCACTTAGTATTTAAAAGAGCAAAAACTGGTCGGCTCGAGATAAAAAAAAAAAAGTCTCTTGGTAAGGTGACATGTCTTCCTTTGGATTGTTACCTTGTAAACTCGCAAGTTAAAAATCTGGTTCAGAGTGTCGGTCAAGTAATCACCGATACCACTAAAAAACAGCATCAAACAAAAATAATGGTTCTTCTACTTGGAGCTAGCTTCACGGATTATGCACTCATTGTCATTCTGAATTATTATTAATATAATCATTATGAACCACGAGAAAATGTAATTTATTGTATGTGTTTGCCTTTATTTGTGAGTGTTGCTCGGTTAAAATTGTAAATGAAAATGCAACTGTTAAAGCACATTTTTTTAAATTTTAAAAAGTAGAGACATGTATATATAAATAGGACGGTCGCGTTGAACCAACATTTTGTTCGTAAAAAAAGAAGATTGTGTTCACTTTATATTGAGTGGGTGGAGAAAGAGGCTGTAGAAATGATGGTGTTGACTCTGTTATGGATTTTATTGGTAAAAAAAGATCTGAATCTGTAAATAAGTAAAAAATAACTTCTTTAAAGGAGCATTAGCTATGATTTAGACAAAAATTTAGAATACGATTCTTTCTGTTTCAAGTACTAATAAAAGTGGGATTTTGAAATAATATTTCGTTATATGCAGTCAGTTTGGCCCAAATTTGTCAAAATAAGCTCAAAAACATCGCTGATGTATTATTGACTTAATTTAACCTCGTTGAATCCGTAAAACATATATACAATATTTTTAATCTATAAAATGAAATCCAACTGAACGTGATCGTCATCTTTTTTTATTGATATTTATGTTTATACCGGGTTATATGACGGTCGACAAACTTCAGAGGTCATCTCGGTGGTTAATTAGATGGCGTCTAGACTAGTGAAAGTTTGAGTTAAATCAGTGAACATAAATTGACAGCTAATGTCCCTTTAAAAGCGCATTAGCAGTCAAATTCATGTTCAACGATTTGACCAAATTGTCATATTTGATTTATAACTTACTAAAATTTTATTTTCAAATTATAAAAAGTCTAAAATAAACAATTTACGATGCATGGACTCGATAATATTTATCAGCATTTCGTTTGTATTTTATTTATACGCTATCTAATTAACCATCGAGGTGACCTCCGAAGACAGCCGGCGGTCATATAAGCAGATATAGATATAAATAGTTAGCGAACCATCTCTAGCTAAAGGATTTAATCGAAGGTCACATGAATACGAATTCAATGAGGTCGAATTACTCTCTTGCAAGTGAATAATTCATCAGCGATGTTTCTTAGCTTATTTTGACATAATTGAACCAAGCTGGCTGCTAAAAGCGAATTATTATTTCCCTATTTCACTTTCATTAAGGATTGAACAAAAAATATTTTTTTATATCTCGTTATTAATGCCCCTTTAAAAACAACGACGCAATAAAATGCAATGACAATATCAGGAAATAATCATTATTTATCATTTTTAATATCTTACAGGAAATTGAAAACATGGGGGGAAATCGTCATTGTTTTGTTAAAAAAATCAGGTAAATTTCAAATGCGTATTTTTACTTGTTTTATTTTTTCCTTTTAATCCATTTATTTCCAAATTTAACCTTGCAGTAAAGTATAATTTCGTTTTCATGAGAAAATTGATTTGTATCGGTATTGGGAAAACGGTAGTATTTATTCTTCCATAGACGACAATACTAACATTTTCTAAAATTTCTACTTTTTATAATAAAAACCTGGACAAAACAGTTATGTGGGGTAGTAGTACTTTATTATTCTGTTTTAGAAATTGAAGTCAAATAGTATGAGAAATTGATGAAAGAGATAAGGATATTTCCAACTGCTGGTGTCCTATATGCACCAGCCCTATATCATTATGAGTGTTGTTGTTTTTTTATTTAGTTTAAAACTACACATTAAAAAAACAATAAAAATAACAACAAAAATATATAGCAGTTATATATGAATGCAGCTATATCTCGTGTATACAGTGTTTTACTGATTTCAGCTCATTCTTTTGTAATGAGCAATTGAAAACACAAGTCAGTGTATGCGGATGGATGGATGTATGGATGGATGGCTGTTTAACGGACATACGTGTACAATGGAGAAGAGAGTGTGGATTGATATTTGAAGTACGCTTTAAAAAAAAATCAGCTGTTTGCTATGCGCATATTCCCCTCAGTGTCGTAGTACGTAGGCATTGGTGCCAACACAGCAATCGGATTATAATCGTAAGATACGGATAATTTACCCTCTCCAAAATAAAACTAGAGCTAAAACAGATAAAGAATTAAGAATGAAGATGGGCTGCATTGGATAGAAGTCGACCGTATGCAAGTGCACATGCATACGACTTTGATGGAATTTGGAACATTCAAATACGAAATAAAAGATGAATTCTGGTCTGTTTTGTAGGGTTCTTAAATCAACTCAATTTTCAAAAAGTTACAGACTTTGCATAGAGATTTTTTTCAACCAAAATAGGTTAACAGATGTATTGATATTCATTTGCATAAGCAGGGGCGGATCAAGCCATTTTCAAAAGGACGGTTACCAACCCAGGATTAGGTTGGGGGGGGGGGGGGGGGTAATTATTCACTATTTCACTATTTCACTTTCATTAATGATTGAACAAAAAATCATATTCTTTTCAGAGATATCTCGTAACTAATGCCCCTTTAAACACAACGATGCAATAGAATACAATCATAATGACAATATCAGAAAAAGGGGGGTCCAACCATACGTCCCCATTCAAAAGCACTAATCGTCAATAAAAGGGGGGTTCCAACCCCCGGAACCCACCCCCTTGGATCCGCCACTGATAAGGTCGATTTCTATCCGACGCAGATAATAAAAATGTTAGATAACAATAAAAGTACTCACTGACATTCTGGCCTGCAAATGAATTGATAAATGTACAAATAATTAGAACGAATGCACATTGTTTTAATTGAAGCATATTCCTTTCATGTAGGTTGGTTGTTACAACGATGAGGAAGTTAACAATCTTAAAGTTTAAACGTAGGCATGTTGAAAGTAGTGATTAGCCATGCATAAAAACATTAAACTTTCGTAATTTATATGTGTAACATGTGGTTTTCCTTAAGACAGAATTAAAAACGACCCGGATTTGTTTCAGTTAAATCGATTT